AGAGCCTACTTGTACTTAGGACCGGGCGCCGTCAAGGAGGCCGTGGTAGGGCTCGCGACGACAGGGACTAGTGGCGCGGTTAGCAGGGCGCTACGCTACCTGAAGGACGAGGTAGCTGCCTTCCGAGCGGAGGACTTGGGCGACCCGTTGACCCTATTTCACGGGCGCCCTCCTCTAGATATCACGGGCGAGCTGGTGGTAGCGCAGGACGGGTTTTTTAAATACAGTGTTAGGAGTCTGCGGGCGATAGTTCCGACGTTCGTAGTAGAGAGCGTGTTTGGAGGTATTGGTGGAGTGGTTGAGACATACCTAGCCTATCAGGATCTCAAGATCCTGGCGAGAAGGCCTGTCGACCTCGACTACATCTATTATTCGCTCGCGACTGGTGGGCTTCGTTGGGGCGACGAGAGGGTTCAACTTATAGAGCTGATCCGTTCGATAGACGACGAGTGGCCCCAGTCTCCGTGCGTTTGGGATTGGCTAGACCGTGAGCTCTGAGCAGGCCTCGAGTACGTGACCTGCGTCGGGCGGCTCTTCTCAGACGACTGGGGGAGCTGGTGGGGTGAGGACGCCGAGCGACCTCTGATATACGGCCATCAGTTGGCGGAGTACTACCAGGCTATAGGACAGGTGCTGTACCACGTCGAGGGCGAGTTTGACGACGTGGGAGGGGAGCGAGAGGACGACGAGGACGCCTGGGAGCCAGACTGGGTCGACCCGGGGAGTGAGGTTGACGAGGAGGAAATTGACGTTGCGGACGCCCATTTTCCCAGGATAGGAGTAGCAGTCTGAGCGTAGGAGGTAGAAAAGCACATTAGGGCGACGGTTGAGTGAGCTTAGCTACTGATATCGGCGGATAGTAGAGATCGGATCGATGATAGAGCAGATCAGTGGAGTAGAGCTTCAGATCGATGACGCCAGATGGCCTAGGCCTCCGAAGACAGTAGCGCCAGGCCGGTTGGCGCTAGATCTGCAGGCCAGACGAGTTTCCGCGGATGCGATAGAGAGTCGGTGGTCTTCTAAGGTGTTGGGCCCAGACGTGCACTTGTGGATGTATGTCATCGAGAAGTTTGAGCTAGACAGTCAGAGGTGGCGACGACAAGGCACGACTAGTATAGAGGTAGTGGGCCACATTTACTACTCGCGGGAGGTGCTAGCCACAGTCTATTTTCACGGCATCGTGCACGATCATTGGCGAGAGGAGCAGAGCGCGAGGAGCGAGGTAGAGCGGTTGCACGAGGGTGTTCGGGGAGTGACGACGACCTTGAGGATTGGAGGACACTTCCCATATCCTAGCAGTCGACTACGAGTGACACTTCCGTGCTTCGTGGCGGAGGAGCTTTGGGGAGTTAGACGTCTGGGTGAGATCTACTTTGCGGCTCTTGACTTGGACGGCCTCTGCCGGGGGTACGCTGACAGGGATTGGGTATTGTATGCACAGTTTGTAGCAGGGCCGCTTGTAGGCAAGCGAGGGCTCCAGTTGATTGAGTTCCTGCGGGCCATTGTACCTACCGGTAGCCCCGACCTGTATTCTCTGTACCAGCCCCTAGCCTTCTGGACGGCACTAGAGAGAGAGGCTCAGAGGCCTACTGATCATTTAGCTGGAGTGGGACAGCTGTTAGCCGAGACTCGTGAGGAGAGGCCGGGCCATCTCATCTCGACCGGCGAGGTTGAGGAGTATTACCAGCAGGTATATCCAGAGGCTGACGGTCTTGCGTGTTACACCGAGGATCGGGATTGGGAGAACTTCTATGACATAGACCCCTGGGGTGACCAGGAGGACGGCTGGGGACATCACCTACACGCAGAGGGACAGGAGGGTATCCCATGGGGTCGGAGGCTAGATGAGGACACAAATGAGGATATGCCAGATGCGTGAGTAGCGGAGAGTATGGCAGTCCGGGATATGCTGAGGGTGACTCTTTCCCTGCGGCGAGATAGGACGGGTGGCTGGGAAGGAGAGGCGTTAAAGATTGTTGAGTGACAGATCGGACTCATGACGGAACATGCCCTGGAGATACGGAGGAGCCAGAGGTACGTCGAGTTTACTATCTACTTCCATGGAACAGACGGAAGAGCGCACAACACCTACTCGACCATACTGGACCTGAGTGCGAGAGTTGTCTGAAGGGTTAGCAACGCCGAGAGATGGGGTGCATCGGAGGGAGTAGAGTGATGCTGACCGAGAGTCGGAGAAGAGATGAGGAGTGATTCAGTGGCCTGGTTAGCTTATGTTCTCTCACGAGAGTCCGAATCGTATAGTGTGAGGAAGCTTGTGGGACCCAGAGAGACGGCGGTTGGATACGACATACCACTTCATGTGGCGTTAGAAGGGGCAGGGCGTGTTCCGATACGATACTTGGGAACGTGGCTCACAGAGGGGCTCTTCCTTTGGACAGTGATACTACGAGACGAACGACCCGAGAGGACTCATGATCTAAAAGAGGTCGGACATCTAATAGCAGATAGAGCACACGATTTAGAGATAGGACTGACGCTCGCAGGGGCGAGCAGGAGCTGGTGGAGAAGCGAGTCGTTGGCCAGAGTGATCGTTAATCAGCAACTGGCGAGACTCTCTGGAGGGAGGACGAGTTGGAGCTGCTTGGTATACGGTCCACCACATCCGACCCTCTACCCGAGAGAGGATTGGCGATTCGGACTTCCTGCCTTCGTCATAGGGCAGACCTATAGGAGCGTAGAACGTTTGAGTAGAGCAGTGGACCACACACTTTACGCGCTCTTGGAGGGCTTAGCGCCCCGTTTCAGGGAAGTATACTACGCCATTTGTGTGAGGTGGGGACCGCCCAGTAGAGAGATGCTTGACGACATCATAGACGTTACTAACTGGGTGGACTGTCTGAGCCCAGTCGATCTGATTAGGTATTGCAGGAGACGGGCGAAGATCGATTATATGGGGCTGGAGGATGTGAGGTTTCTCTTCGAGGCCCCGGGGAGGACGGCCACAGTGATGCGTGTTGGGGAGCAACTGGTGAGCACCGGGTACACTGTGACAATACTACTCCAAGCGTACATAGATGAGGACTTGTAAGGGAGTGCAGACAACGAGCCGGGGATTTGATCCACGAGCATAGAGCTGATGTACTGGCGCGGGTGACCTTCCAGACCTCGATTTCCTATGAGGTGATGATATGGTCACATGGCTATATGCGTGCGGAACACTTCCATGACGAGACGGTAGAGGAGGCTAGAGCAAGAGTAAGAGGATGAGCTGGAAAAAGATGAAGACTGAGTATGGAAGAGGAGAGTGATGCAGTCGGAAGAGTGAGAGAGCGCATTAAAGAACCGCTTTTTAAACCAGGTAAAGGAGTTAGGGAACAAGTTAAGGGAGATCTGGTCGTGCCAGGATGAGAGCAAGTTGTGTGGGGCTGAGCTCGTGACGAGAGAGTTGGAGAGTCTATTTAGGGAGGAAAGAGAGATTATCCAGGCGTGGAGATCAGACTTTCTGGAGAGGGTAAAGGCTAATAGAGTATCTCGCGAAGGAACTAGTGAGAGGTCTGCAAAGGGCGTGACAACGGAGGACGAGGTAACGCAGGGAGGTAGCGACAGGACATGAGCGGGACTGCACTACACACGACGGATCGGTACTCATTGCATGTGGTAGGGAGATTGGACGGACCATTGGTGTTAGTGATCGTAGAGCTCCAGCTCCATACCAGACTGTGCATAGTTGAGGAGGCAGAGTGTGTCCGCCGTGCCCTGCGTGAGGCCAGGRGGACAGGACTTTGGATTGGAATAGAAGGAGGACGGAGGATAAAATACGTACYYCGAGTAACRCCTTTTGAAGGGCAGTCGCGGATAAGGGCATGGTACGAGACGACCAGAGAGGCTGAGAGGTTGAAGATAAGCGAAGCCAGGAAAGCTGGAGAGTTAGGGAGAGTTGTAACAGACGGTGCCATACTCAGGGTGCTAGCCGCTCACAATCGGTACTGGAAGGAGTCGATAAAGACTTTAGAGGCCATAGAAGATGATGGAGATGAAGAGGACTCTGAGACATTCTATGACATTTTGGAGCTGTCGGCGATGAGGTTACGAGTGGCTATAGCACTGACTTACCTCAAGTGCTAGACAGATGATCTCATAGCTGTTTGGGAGTTGAAGGAGGAAAAATAGAGGTTGGAAGCTCTTGGAAGGAAAGTACAGGTCAGAAAGGTCGGCGGACGACTTTGGATGCCAGTAGGAGGAGAGCTTCCACCTTCAGCACGCTACCCGACTCATGACGGGCTAGGAGACCTAGCAAGGAAGGCGGAGTTAGACGCTCGGAGGCTCTTGAGGGGGTTTTGATCAGGAGACATAGGCTAGGCTTAGGACTGCGGTCTGCCGCAGGTGTAGAGATCCTGTCACGGCTATACTGCTGATCCAGAGAGGCGCGACCTTGTTGGCCGATCCCGAAGGGGAGGTCTACCTAGACACAGGGATTCTTGGGATAGAGGGAGAGCACGAGATCCGCGACCGGAACTGAGTACTGGTGGCAGTGATCAGGGCAGTCGAGAGCTAGGGTTGGTGACGAGCGTGAACCGTGACAAGGAAACTGGTCCGGGCTGCGAGTTCTGAAACTGGTCCGGGCTGCGAGTTCCGTCACAGATCYGGGCTGCAGCAACTGTCATAAGTCCGGGCTGTAACACCCGGCGGGAGTGCCTGACTGCGTCTTCTGGTGGCCTATGGAACCAGACACGATGGGGCCACAACTGACCACGGCCGAGACAGGAGAGGAGTACATGACATCGCCCGACCGAGCTCTGAGGGATCTGAAGGAACGAATTAGGCGGGACGCACCGCTGAGATGGGCTGACCAAACCAATGACGAAGAGCCCGACGTAATGGGCGAGCCGGTCGTGACGGAGCCGCAGGAGACACTGAAGACGGGAACCTCGAGCGGTCGACGAGAAGCGACGAGACGACGCTCCCACGAGTATGAGCGGAGGGAGACCATGGCGGATAGGCACAGAGACGACTGGCGGGAGAGTTCGAGCGATTCCTATTGGAGGGACAGAGATAGAGACCGGGCGCCGCCTAGGCGAGTCTTCGACCCTCAGACAGGGGAGTCGCATCCGGTCCCTTACGAGAGCAAGGACCGCTATATTATTATGCACAAGGCCTCTGAGCCACCTACTTTTAGGGGTTATGGCATCACAGAATACCTGGAGAAGTGGGAGCTTCATGCAAGTCGGAGTCAGTGGTCGGAGGAAGAGATTATAGAGAACTTCCTATTTAATGTGGACCCAAGCCTCGGCAAGGAAGTTAAGGAAGCCCGACCCAAGGATGGGAAATGAACTACGTACAAAAAGAACCTCGTAGAGCTTTACAAGTTGGAGGATAACAAGTACTCCATCAAGGACCTTGAAACGATGACTCAAGATGAGGATGAGAGCGTACGGGCCTTTGGGATGCTCTTCCAGAAGATCTCCGACGTGCTGATGAAGAAGGGGAAGATCTCAGAGGTCGAACGCTGTACTATCTTCATCGGACACCTGTCCAAAGGTAGACAAAAGAGTATACTTAGAGATCTTCCGCGTGACAAGCTTGACTTCCTAGAAGTCCTAAAGCTCGCGATAAAGGCAGAGGCAGACGACTACAAGGACTTAGTGTGGAGAGGGATGAGGAGACGTGACTTCTCTCTCTACAAGGAGTATGCCACAGATAGATGCCCTGATTTCAAGGACCTCCCTTGGTCGGAGAAGAGTGAAGCCGTGGCCGAGGAAGTGAAGGAGATAAGGGACATGGTAAAGGGATTGACGAGACAGGTTACAGAGATTGTGACAAGCACAGGAGCCACGACTTACCGGGACAAACCCGGAGGGCCCTATTCACTTCGCTGGGATCGGAGGAACACCGATTCTTGGAGGAGTGTCGAGGACAGAAATCCTCGCACGCTGACTGATTATCGTACGCGGGAAAGGGAGAGAGACGATGAGCCATGGCGACGTAAGGATGACGAGATAGACCAGGACCGCAGAGCTCGCGAGACGTATGGGCGAGCTAGGAGGCTGGATGATTACTTGCGTAGCCCTCGTTATGAGGCCGATCGGGGTAGAGGCGACTCTAGAGGCCAGTGGGAGTCGGATCAGGGCCGACGAGACGGATACAGGGACTGCAGATATGAGAGATCAGACCGGGATGGATATAGGGACGAAAGATATGAGAGGACGGATCGAGATGGCTACGGAGGTGACAGATATGAGAGAGGAGGTCGAGACGTGGACCGACGGGACGACTCGCGCGGACGGTATGACCGCGGAGGATACGCGAGAGAGCGGTGCAACGATTCGCGGGGGTGGTACAGCCGAGGAGATCGGCGCGATGAGACACGCGGGCGATATGACGCTGGGGACCGCCGAAACGATTCACGGGGACGATATGAGTCAGGAGGATCTGGGGGAGACCGCCGCAACGATTCGCGCGATCGGAATGAGAGAGGGGGATATGGCGCCTCATCAGAGCCGTATCCCAAGTCGCCTGACCCCAGAGCGGCGAGAGGTACGACCTCCAGAGGCACGGACGACAGGCCACCCACCCCTAGGAACTCTTGCGTCTACTGTAGAGGGGATGTTCATATCAAGAGAGATTGCCCGGACCTCAAACGGGCAATAGACGAGGGGCTTGTCGTGCTTGACGACCGCAAGTACGTCAAGTGGGCAGATGATCTGAGAGATTTATCGATGTTCCCTTCGATGAAGGAGAATGTCGAGGCAAGGAGAGTAAAGCCGAGTAGAGGGAAGGAACTGGTCAAGAGTCAGAGCATCAAGATAACTTTTGAGGGGGATATGACGACCACACCCATAAGGGTGGCAGCCACCAAGTCCGCGAGAGGATCTACATCGAAGGAGACCGACACGGATTACGTGATGGCAGAGAAGGACGGCGGGCAGCGGATCGATGGAGAGGAGGTTATTCTTTCGCCGCGAAAGCGGGGAGTAAAAAAGTTATTGATGAAGAGTTCGCTGGATGAGATTGACACGGTCGAGCCACTGAGACGGGCCCTTCGACAGCCCATGCAGTGCTCTATTCTGGAGTACCTGGCGGCATCGAAGCCAACTCGCGATGAGTTATAGATGATCACACGAAAAACTCGCATACCTCTATCAGAGGAGGCTCAGGGGGGCCCTAAGGCGGAAGCTCCTACCGTAGCAGTAACAGGGGGAACTGCCAAAGCGGATCGCATGGCGACAGTCCTTCTTGATGGGATGGAAGGTGTGCCACCGGACAAGTTTTACATACTTGGTAGTGGGGCCGTGGAGACGATCATAAACGATGGAGCGGTACTAGATGTTGTGATCGATAACAGCAGTGAGGCTGTCATTATAGACGAGGATCTGGCAGTACAGGTTGGACTGGGCCTCGATAGGTCATACCAATTCGAGATAGAGACTGCTGATGGGAGAAAGCAACAAATCACTGGGGTTTGTCACAAGGCAGCCATAGAGGTCCAAGGGGTACGAGTGACCCTGCCCGTCTTTGCAGTCAAGAACTGCAGCTCCGATCTGCTCTTGGGAAGAACGTGGTTGAGCCACGTGCATGAGGTGACGATAGAACGACCGGATGGAAGCCAGACGTTGTCCATTAAGAAGCTAGATGGGACGCGGGTTATGATTGAGATGGTGGAACCTCGGGATCCAAGGAACAGAAAAGCTCTCGCAGTGGGAGCAAGACCCAGTGATCAGATTAAGTCATTACTTATCTCTGGCCGCGCGGTACGATTTCGCGAGAAGAAGTATGAACCACTGCTCATAGAGGAAGAAGGTCGGATCGTGGAAGTGGAAAATTTAGGGGGTCGGCTGATAGTGGACGGCAACTCGTACCCAAAGGAGACAGATGAGGAATTTGGCGGGGTGGTATCTGTGTCTTTTTTAAGGGCATGGCCCCCTATGGGAGGCTACCCAAGCGACACAAGCGAGTAGCTCAAAAAGTTAAGCCAGCGGCAGTGGGCCGCGAGCGATCTCCACTGGAAGGGATATCGGAAGAAAAGATCGCAAAAGAAATCAAAGAAAGAAAGAAAAAGGAGMCACAACGCCTAACGGAAGAGAGGATAGCAGGGATGGACATYGGAGATGGAAATCTGACCCCACAGGAGCGAGAACGTGTGTTAGAAATTCTCAAGACATGTGATAAGGCAATAGCTTTCARYGACGCRGAGCGCGGTAGGGTTGACCCTCGATACGCTAAGCCAGCGAGGATTTACACGATTCCACATGTTCCTTGGAATGACGCAGGATGGAAATACGCCCAGAAGGAAAAGGAAGAAGTTACCGCCTTCCTGAAACAAAAGATGGTTTCCCATGTAGCGGAGCTGTCTGATAGCGCATATGCTAATCGATGGTTCTTCCTACGAAAGCCGAATGGCAAGATCCGATGGATCCAGGACCTTCAGAAGGTCAACACGGTGACGATACGAGACGTGGGCTCCGTGCCACACGCCGATTTACTAGCAGAAGGCGCCGCAGTCAGGTCAATTTATTCGGTCTGTGACCTGTTCTCAGGCTATGATGAGGTACCGCTTGATCCTATGGACACGCACCTCACGGCTATGCATACGCCATTGGGACTGATACAGATGATGGTTGCCCCTATGAGATGGACTAATGGGGTAGCTGTTTTTCAAAGAGCCATGGTAGCCGTCCTCAAGGACTTCATCCCTGATAAGGTTGAGGTTTTTCTTGATGACTTTCCTATAAAAGGGCCAGTAGACAAGGATGATACAGAGGTTGTACCAGTAGTTAGAAGATTCGTCGAGCAGCACCTAACATATATTTATGCGGTACTTGAGCAGCTGGACGATGCGAATTTGACGGTCAGCGGAACAAAGAGCCGATGGGCCGTCTCGACTATTAAGATCTTGGGCTTTATCTGTGACTCGAGAGGACGCTGAGCAGATCCGGCGAAGCTAGACAAACTCCTGGACTGGCCGTCACCGTTACATAGTCCAACCGAGGTCCGACAGTTTTTGGGGATGGTCGGATACTGGCGTATATTCATACGAGGGTATGCGGAGAAGGCTGAGCCATTGAGGTTACTCCTTCGAAAGACTGAGAAATTTTGTTGGGGTTCCTCGCAGGAAACGGCTATGCAAGACCTTAAAGACGAATTTAAGGAGGGAGGACGCGTACTGGGCGTGCCATTCTTTGACGATGAGACCGAGAGACCTTTCATAGTGTCCACGGATGCGGGACCTTGTTCGGTTGGTGGGTTGCTGTCTCAGAAGGACGCTGGACGGAAGGAAAGACCGTTAAGATTTTAGAGTAGAACACTTAATACGGCTGAGCGTAACTACAATCAATTCAAGAAGGAAGTGTTAGCTGTTCTCCGGTGTCTAGACACGTTCAGACACTATATCTATGGGCGACGGTTCATCTTGAGAGTAGACCCCACCGCGGTTGCCTCTGTCCTCCAGAAAGGACCCAACCATCCCCCGATGGTTAATACGGATTCAGGTATATGATTACACGGTTGAGAGGATATCTGGCACTAAAAATGCCGTGGCAGATGGACTTTTGCGCATCCCTCTTGAGGTCGAGCGCCCGATAGTAGCTGGGGCCCTGACTATGGCGGAGCCAGGACGCACCGAGCGATTTCTGGTTAACCTTTACGAGGGCATATACCGAATGATCGGGCTACATTTGTCAGGAAAGGAGAGTCAAGAATCAGATATCCGGAGACAAGCGGCCCAGTACTGCCTTAGAGCTGGCCATCTGTTTCGAAGGCCGGGCGGCTCGGGGATACCCTTACGAGTAGTCTGTGACCCTGAGGAGAGACAGACAATAGTTGCGGAGCTTCACGACGGGGTAGTCGGAGGACACAGGGGAGTCAAAGGAACCTACGAAAAGGTACGCAGGTTGTACTGGTGGGAAGGACAGTATAAGGACGTCGAGAGGTACTGTATGACCTGCGAAGAGTGTCAGAAGAGAGCTCTTGTGAAATACAAAGAGCCACTTCATCCATCCTATCCGACCAGACCAGGAGAGAAGGTACACATCGATCTGGTAAAAATGCCGAAAGGGGTAGGCAATATGAACTACGTCGTGAACATACGAGACAATTTCACTGGGTTCGTGGACGGTAGACCTATCAGGAGTAAGGCGGCAAAGGAAGTAAAGAACTTCGTCCTAGAGTACTTATCTAGGTATGGTTGTGTCAGAAAGATAGTGATGGACAGAGGGGCGGAATTCCTAGCCGACGAGGTTTTGAGCGTGTTCCAGAGTGCTGGGGCGAGAGTTTCGATACCCACTGCCTACCACCCATAGTCGAACTCCCCAGTACAGAGGGGACACCAGGCTCTGATCGCGTCACTGTCCAAGTGGTGCAAGGGTAAGGACAGTGATTGGCCACGATATTTTCGATATGTGATATGGGCGGACAACGTCACGGTCCGGGCTAGCACTGGGTACCCACCCTACACCTTGTGGTTTAGGCGACATTGTCCGCTCCCCATAGAGTTTCACATCGACAGCTGGACGACCATTGACTGGGCGGAGGAGATGTCCCGAGAGGAACTCATAGCTGCCCGAACTAGACAGATAGCCTACGGTTTGGAAGACAACCTTATGACAGCGGCAGATCGTCTGGCAGTGGAGAGGGACAAAAGTAAAGTGAGATGGAATAAGAACGTGCGGATCAGAAAGGAGAGGGTGAGCATATGAGATATGGTCCTTCTCTACGATGCAGCACTAGAGAGGACCTAGACCGGAAAACTCGCAAACAGATAGATGGGACCTTATAGAGTGGTTGAGGCACTCGACTGGGGTGCATATATGATAGCGGAATTAGACGGATCCAAGTGGAAGGACCCAGTGGCATGTGCTAGGTTAAAGCTGTTTAGACCCAGGCCTGCACCCCCCTTATCGCTGAGAGGCCCGAAAGGGAAAGAGAAGGCCAAAATGGAGGATGGAGCCCCCTTGAGGCGATATGAGGCGGGAGAGAGTTCCAAGAAGAGGAAAAGGGTGGAGAAAAGAAAGGTCAAAGGGTTGGCGATGGGAAAGAGGAAGAAGTGGCTATTCGTGCTCAGGAGAGTCAGACGGAGAGTTCGTATTGGGCAAAGAAATTAAAAACATAGAAAGAGATTAAAAATGGTAAAAGAGAAAAGAAACAGAAGGAATTCGGCCATTTATTTAAACTTTCTCGGAATTTAATTTTAGGGAACTTACAGTTGATTCACTATTTCCGACAATAGAATTAAGGAAAGGGAAGAATGATGAAAAACGATGAAAGGGACGGGAACCCATGATTATTCGGAGATTSGCCTAATTTCGCCTYGATTACCCGCCATCWGCCYTGACCCCGGATTGAACATTTTCCCCGGATTTTAACAGTTTTCAATAYTGCCGATGGTCGAGGTTCCCTGCGTCGCTTTCGCTGGTTTGCTTGATTACTAACACTACCGCAGTTGGGATGTTCTGAGAGCGGGAGACGCATGGACAAGTGCTACCTTGGGTCACTATGATGGTTGGTTCGGTGCGGGTACGAGGGATGTTACGGAATG